CCAATGAGCTCCAGTTCGTGCATCCACAGCTGCTCCCTGTGAATGCACAGCGTCCCTCGCCACAGAGCTCAACGCTTTCAGGGTTAACCTTTGCTGAATCCCTTGGACACAGCAAGACTGACATCCCCGCTCCGCACACAGCAGAGCTGGGACCCCAAAAAGAGGAGTAAAGAAGGCCACATGCTTCTGGCATGACTCTTCAGGGCAGGAAGCTGGGAAGAGACCCTGCCCTGCACCTCTGAGAGGTTTAAAATACCTCTGTGCTACTTGGATCTGTCTGTCCCTGTCACCCTCCCCTAAATGCTGTGAGTACAGCACCTCTCAGGTGTCACAGCATGTACCTGGCTGTGCATTGTGGTGGGTTCTCAGCAGAGAGACCCTTGAAACTGCCATCTGCATTTTGGCACTGGGGAATCCTGATGTGCCTGCATCCCTTAACAACCCTGGTTGTCCCACCCTAGCAGGGCCAAAGGTCTCAGCCTGCCCAGAGAAACCAGAGCTGAGTCATTCCCGAGTGCCCCTGTCCGAAAACAAGGAAGAATTCCTGCTGTAAAGCTGTTCCCCTCCTTCCCTCATTTCCTCGTGTCTGTGGCTATTTCAGAGAGCAGCGACACGAGCTGGATTTCCTCTAAACTCTATCTCCTTTACAACACAGCCTGTGCCCCGTGAGTAACCCCTCCCATCCCTGTCTGTGAAAAGTGGAAGAAACCCCGAGGAGACCCACAGAATTCTAGAGAAAACAGTCTGTGCTGGGGAGGGTTTCACAGGTCTGTGCCTGAATGACCCGGAGGTTTCAGGCAGATTGAATCTTTGTGTGCCTTGAAATAGCTGTTTCAACACTCCTCTGTGTCCTGCAGGCCAGGGATCAGAGCAACAGGTATTTACCACACCTGTGATAGTCGAGTAATCAGGAAAGGCAGGGGGTGGGCAAAGGGGATGTGGTAGGAGCTGGAGTTTCTATTTTATCTGGGGCCTCCTGCCAGTGTCCCACCACAGCCATATTCCCGGCCAGGCACGCCCCCAGTTCCTCCATGCAAATACTCCCGGTCTGAGTTTCACAATCCCTTCCCAGCAGGCACCCTCTGCTTTCACTCTCTGAATTACCGAGGGGAATTTTCATTACATCACCAGAGACTCTTCCTCCTCGACAGCGGCAGAGCTGTCACTTGCTTTGCAGGGGGGTTTTGGGGTGTGGGTGGCCACGGTGTTTCTCTGGAAAGAGGCCCTGTGCCTCCCAAAAGCAGGTTCAGCCCAGCTCAGCCTCCCCCAGTGGCTCCATCCAGGCTGGGAACGGCACTGGGCAGTGTGGGGTGGCTCCAACCGGTGCCTGGAGAAAGCCTTTTCCCTGGAAGCCTTCCTGGGAGATATGGCATTTTAAGGCAGCTTTAAAAGTCGTCTGTGCCAAATCCTGCCCTGATTTAAGCAGCAGGGTCGGAAGTCAGCAGTCTTCCAGCTTTCTGCCAGCATAAGCAGAAGCAAATTTGCCTGTTGGAGCTGGGATTTGTGGAATGATTCGCTGCAGCATTTGAATTCCCCTCTTCCTATTTTTTTTTTCTTTTGTTTGTTTTTGGTTTATCTTTTCAAATATCCCTGCGTTAAACAGTCAGACTGGTGACTGTTTCCTTGCAGCCCCGGGGAGGGGCTGATCTGATCTCACTCCCAATCCGGCGACTTTCCAATCAGCCTCTTTCCTCTCCTCCCTGGCAGCTCGTTTCCCTGCCCTCTCCTTCCTGGCTTCCCAGCCCCAGTTCCTGGCTGGGTTGTTGGTTTTTTTCCCCCCCCAGTTTGAATCAAAACAAACTACCGGGTTCAAACTGCTAGTCAGGAACTTGCTGAGCAGGAGCCTCTGCTCTTGGCAAGGGTTATCAAAACTCGCCACGGAGAAACACCTTGGCCACGGAGAACTTATTTTTAAATAGCTGGTATGTCTGGACCACGGCGGGGTCCGGACAGTTGGAATTCTGTGTCTCTGAGCTCCATAAAAGCACTGAATTCCCTCAAACATATAAAGACTGGCAAGAGGTCTGAGCAGCTTGGGAGGAGGGAAGATGGCTCTGAAGTCACTTGGATTTACCCTGGCCTCCCCCAGCCCTGTTTGTATCATGATTTTCCTCATATAAGGCAATGAAGAGTCATTTCTGCCCCATCAGCACGTTGCAAAGCCGATGCTTTTCCCAGGAACTCCAGATGGTTTTGCTCTCTGTCTCTCTGTGTCTGCACTACTGGTAATTCAGGCCTGTCTCACATTAGCTTTTGAGCTGAAACCTTCCCACAATTAGTTACAGTCTGTGCTCTTGCGCTGCAGAGGACGTAGGGCTGAGCTGGCAGAGCGCTGTCTGGGAGATCCGTCCCACACACAAGTCTTGTTCAGGTTTCTCTATTTCGGTCAAGAGTGTGATTTTTCTAGTGAAATCATCAAAGCGAGACAGTTTCTGCTACAGATGGGCAGCAACAGCCCTTAAAAATGCCTCATACCCAGCTTGCCTCAGACAGGAGCAGTTAATTTCAATATAATCTTGTTTTACACCAATATAACACCTCTCCTTTCCTCCTCTGGCCCTGCTTTCCCAACAGTGAAATGGGGAGAGGGTCCTTTCCCTCTGGGAGCTCCACAAAACAAGTGTCAGGGAGATGCTAAAGCATCTTCATGCCTGCCCACGACCTGCCAGGGACCAGAGCTCAGCAACTCACCACTCAGGGACAATGTACTCCACAGACGCCCTTGTAGCATCCCAGATTCTCTTGGAGCAGAGCTGTTTGGCTCCCTTGCCAAATTACCTTGCTAATTAACAGGGTTTTTGATCCCAGGCAGGAATTTACCACTTTGAGGCCAATCCTAAGTGTGGCCCAAAACTTCCAGCTGGTCCAAAGCCACGTGTGCTGTGGCAGGAATGCCGGAGCACAGCAGATGAGCTGACAAATGTCTGGGGAATGTCATCTCCGGGGAAGGACTTGGGTGCAGCAGACATCTTGGGATAAGCAGTAAGTGAGGGTGTATGGCAGGCACAGAATTAATGTGGAAAAGCACAGGGAAAAGCATGAATGCTGTAGGGTATTTAGGTGAGGAGGAAGCTTCATTTGTGCTCTTATGCAGGTGATTTACTCCCTCTGTGCCAGACAGGGAAGTGTCAACATTACCCCTGCTGTGCAGACAGACACAGGGTCTTTGCCTACAGCAATCAGGCAGCACGAGCACTGAAATCCAGGTGCTTCCAACTGTCAGCCCGGGTTTGGTTCCTTGCTCCCATGTCAGAGGCACCAACAAGGGCTCTCGGCAGCCGGGAAGGATCCTGGTAATAACAATGCAAACAGGCTTTCCTGAGAGAAATGATTTCGGGAACAGCGATAGCTGGGAGAGACAGTGATGGAGCCATACTTGTCACATGAATAACCACAGTCTGTCCAGCCAGAGCTGACAGTCTAAGGGAAGGCAGCCCCTTCTGTGCTGATTTAACAGGCTCCTCGTAGACACAGCAGATCTTTCTGCTTCGCCTCCCCTGCATAATAAGCAGTGTCCTTCCCGTTAGCTCCTCAGCCTTTGGATGGGAGTCGAGGCTGGCAGACCCCCGTGGGCACGGGGGAACCCTGCAAGGAAGCGGAGGCTTTTAACTTTCTGCATGACTGCAGTAGGAATGTGGGTTGTAGTTTCAGTGCCTCTGAACCCAGCACTCCTCGGGGAGGAGTTCCCCGGGTGAGTAAATCTCCACATGATCTTCACAGACGTTATGAAGGAGGGACACACAGCGAGGGACAAGGTGCTCCAGTGGGGCGAATGGATTTAGAGGGGGCTCCTGACGTTATAGATCCCTGTCTCCAACAAGACACATGTTAAAAAGCAAACTGCCCCAGGGATTTTTAACAGAAACCTTTTTTTCTGCACAACCCAGCCAGGCCCTAGATGAGACCAGAAGGCTGGAATGGCCACCCTGGGGTGGGCAGAGATGCTCTGGGCAAGCGCTGCAGCCATGGCAGTGCTAAGGGAAGGATTTTGAGGGGAGCAAGGGGTTGAGGGGGGGCCATGGTGGTGAGGGGAGATGGGGAGCTGAAGGGAGAGTCATAGAATCATAGAATATCCTGAGTTGGAAGGGACCCATCAGGATCATCGAGTCCAACTCCTGACCCTACAGGAATCCCACCATGTGCCTGAGGGTGTTGTCCAAACTGGAGATGGGACACTGAGGGAAACGCTGAGGGTGTTGCGAAATGTGGAATACACATTTTTGTGTACTTTCAAGAGTAAGGGGAGCCAGGGACTGAGGGGGGCCGGGTGTTGAGAAGGAGCCAGAGCGCTGAGGGGAGATGGGGTGCTGAGGGGAGTCAGAAGCACTGAGGGGAGATGGGGAACTGAAGGGAGATGAGGTTTGGAGGGGAGCTGGGGGTGCTGAGGGGAACTGAGTTGCCGAGGAAAGTCGGGTGCTGAGAGGAGCACTGGCACTGAGGGGAGATAGGGGCCCTGAGCGGAGCCATGGTGTTAAAGGCAGATGGGGAGCTGAAGGGAGATAGGGAGCTGAAGGGACATGGGGAGCTGAAGGGAGATGGAGTGTTGAGGAGAGATAGGGAGCTGAGGAGACATGGGGAGCTGAAGGGACATGGGGAGCTGAAGGAACATGGGGTGTTGAGGCGAGATGGGGACCTGAGGGGAACCGGGCTGCTGAGGGGAGTCGCGTGCTGAGGGGAGCAATGGCACTAAGGGGGGCCGGGGGCGCTGAGGGGGGCCGAAGAGCAGAGCGGGCGATCAGCTCTACCCCGCTGAGACGCTTCAGAGCCACTCATGGCACCGCAGCGGCGGGACGGGCACAGGCACAGGGACGGGCACAGGTACAGGGACGGGCACAGGCACAGGGACGGGGACAGGAACAGGCACGGTCCCTCCGGGGCTGCCCGGGGGCGCTGCCCACAACCGAAATGGCGGTGGCGGCGGCCGCGCCCGGCGCGGGGCGGGACAAGGCGGGGCGGGGCCGGGCCGCGCTCACCCGGCCCCGGCGCCGCTCTCGTTACAGCGCGGCCGAGGCAGCGCCCGGCGGGACGCGGCGCTCGGAGCCTCGGGACCGACCTGCAGCCGCCACCCCGGACCCCTCTGAGTGATCACCACCATCACCGCCGCCGCCGCCATGGGCTCCGAGCGGGACTCCGAATCGCCGCGCTCCTCCTCCATCCACTCGGCCGCCGCCAAGTGCCCCAAGCCCGGCCGCCGCCGCCGCCTCTCCTTCCAGAGCGTCTTCTCCGCCGCCGCCGCCTCTGCCGCGGGCGGCCGCCGCCGCGCCAAGGCCGAGCCGCCCCCCGCCGCCCCTCCGCCGGCCCCCGCCGCCCCGCCGGCCCCGCCGCCGCCGCCGCCGCCGCCGCCGCCCCCCGAGGAGGCGCCGGTGGTCCCGGAGGGCGAGGAGGAGCTGGAGTGCCCGCTGTGCCTGGTGCGGCAGCCGGCGGAGAACGCCCCGCGCCTGCTGTCGTGCCCGCACCGGTCGTGCGGGGCCTGCCTGCGGCAGTACCTGCGCATCGAGATCACCGAGTCCCGCGTCAACATCTGCTGCCCCGAGTGCAGCGAGCGCCTCAACCCCGCCGACATCCGCCGCCTCCTGCACGACTCCCCGCACCTCGTCGCCAAGTACGAGGAGTTCATGCTGCGCCGATGCCTCGCCGCCGACCCCGACTGCCGCTGGTGCCCGGCCCCCGACTGCGGGTGAGTGCGGGGGGCACGCGGATGGCGGTGGGGTGGGTGCTGCCCCTCCGTGCTGGGACAGCTTGGGGAGGGGGGACCTGCGGTGCCAGTAGGATGCTGCCCCATCCCTCTGCCCTGGGACAGCGTGGGGAGGAGGGATCTGCTGTCCCCGTAGGATGCTGCTTCCTCTGTCCTGGGACAGACTGAGGACCCACTGTCCCTGTAGGGTGTTGTCCTGTCCATCCTGGTAGAGCGTGGGGATGGGAGGATCTGCTGTCCCGTAGGGTGGTGCCCCATCCATCCATACTGGGACATCTTGGGGAAAGGAGACCCCCCGCCCTGGAGGGGTGCTGCCTGTCCCCAACACATCCTGGGACAGCTGGGTGATCCCACTGCCCCAGCGAGATGCTGCCTTTCTCCAGCAAGTCCCGGGCATGGCATCCCAGATGGGATGGCCCTGGGACCTGCTGTCCTGCTGAAATGCTGCCTGTCCCCACCTGGCTCCCAGGACAGCAAAGGGAGGATCAGCCCCAGTGGGGTGCTGCTGCCCGTACACACTTCTGTTCTACTGAGTCCCACAAAGAGCCCTCAGTGCAGACGTTCTTTGCTTGTCAGCAGTCTGTTCAGGACAGTTGATAGGCCTTGGGTACCAAAATGACACTCCATCTATCCCTGTTACCTCTCTAGGGCACCGGGATTTGACCTTGGGGATTGTGGAAATACAGGCAGATCGGGCATGAGTGACAGGATTTGAAGGGGGTTTTAGCTGAGCCATCGTTTCCCTAATTTAACAGAAGCCTTTTTTTCTGCACAAATGGGAAGCGTGGAGTTTCCCAGCTGTGTGTTTCGCTGTGAGCCATGGGGACAGTGCATGGGGACACGCTGCAACCCTCACGGTGGGGAAGAAGGAACTGTAAATAGTCACTATTTCCCAGTGAGGACGTTGAATACATGGCAAAGAGGAGTGATGTTGACTCACTATCCGTTGCCTAAGTGAGGAAATGTCTGTCTGTCCAGAAGTCAGCCCAGCCAACTGTGATGACTGTGTAGTTATGAGTGTGTTGCTTTCATTTTCTCTTCCATTTTCCTTCCAACGAACTCTGTTGGTTTCTGTTTGAGCGTAAGCCAAAGCTGCCTGGAAAAGGGCTTTGTTTGGGAAACTTAAGAGAAGTGCTGTGAAGTTTAGCTAGAATTCAGCCTGGATGGCAATTCTGAGTAGCGAGGACATGAAAGGAAAGTCTGACCTAGTAGTCAGAATGGAAAAGGTGGTGGGAGGGTTGTGAAGATTTAATCAAAGCATTGTAATAGGCATCCTATGCAAATCAGTGAACCTGGCTCAGGTTACCCATTTCACGGCCTCTGAGCATCCTGTATAAGGGCTTGTTCCTTCAAAGGGTGAAATTAAAGGCAGACAACAGCTTTGCTCCTTTCTGGAGCCAAATCGAGTGTGAGATCTTGATATTTCACCAGCACTGGGGATAAGATCAGAGAGACAAGAGCTGGTTGTGCTGCCACAGAGGGAATGCCCCTGCTGTTAACCAGCTAGAGAAAATCCGGTTCCTGCTCGCCGAATCTCAGCTCCTTGACTGCTGTGATATTATCTGTGCTCAGGATAAGGTGTACAAACAGCCGACGTCACCCAGGCTGGCTGGGTGGAAGGAGCCAGCTCCAGCACGGCCCGGAGGGCGTTGCCTCTGTCACAGCAACCCAGCCGTTGCTTTGAGGGGTTTTGGGCAGGCTGGTGTCACAGGCGGCTCTTTCTGCGAGCAAAAGCCTCCTCCCTGGTTAGTCAGTGAGCAGGGTGAGCCAGGTGACACGCACAGCATCCTCCTCCCAGCTGCCCAGAGCAGCAAGAAGCGACCCTGGGGCTGTTGGAGACCAGGCAGCCTCGTGGACCAGCACTGCTGGTGTGTCTGTGGCGCTCACACAAAGGCTGTTGGAATCAGCCCTCCGGCGGGGAGAAGAATTAATCACCCTATTCATTCTTCCCAGCAGAGCTTGTGTGGCTGTGCTTATGTAAAATCAGGGTATGAATTATTTACAGTGGGCTTTCCCCGCTGTAGTAGTGCTGGAGTACAGAGCCAGAGCGGGAGCGTAGGGCTGGGGGCACGGCCGTGGCTGGCACTGGGTGTCACCCCTGCCAAGGTGTGTAGGGCTGGGGTATGGCCATGCTTGGCCCTGGGTGTCACCCCCACCAAGGTGGTGGCATCAGGAGGCTGCGGGGCCATGGCAGACACGACCCTGGGCGTGTGACACGCAGCGTCCAGCGCCTTCCTCACACGCCACAGTCTTTTCTTTGAATTCCTCTTTAAATGCAAGAGCCTGGCTGTGCTGCGGGAAGGGGAGGAGGAGGAGGACCAACACAACACCGGTGCATGTTGCCATGGAAACTCCGGTCAATTGATGCGCCATCAATCGCAAAACAAATCATTTTCTGTGTTTTGCGGCTTCGGTTTTTCCCCTTGCTACAGTCAGGTGGTATCGCTGTCTAGTGTTTGTCACACTGCATCCTTCCCAAAAGCTTGGGAGAATAACAGGACCTTTAGAGGAACGGAGCTGTGTAGGCTGAGCTCTGTGAATGAGCAGGAGGAGGGAGGGAGGCAACTCGTGGCCGTCCAAGGCGTGGGCTGGAAGCAGAGCTGTGTGATTCCTGGGGTCTCAGGGAGACACTCTGTGGGGAAAACTCAGTTTCTCTTCTCATCTGCTGGGATTGAGCCTGGAAATGGCTGTTTAAGTCAGCAATGTGTCAGAGGTCAGGGGAAGAGGGGAGTGCACTGGCCATCCAGTGCCATAACTATTCCCAGGCATAGCCCTTCAAAACCCACTTTCTAGTTGACCTTGACTTGGAGCTGTGTTATTTCTTTTCCCAACAGACAGTTGTGTAGCTTGTCTCCCCGCAGCTGTGGGCTCGTTCATGATATTTGTCATTTCAGCTCTAGCAATAAAATATAAATGATGATGATTTTAATTTCTCGAGTGTTTAAAAAACCCCAGCGTTTTGAGTGAGGAGTTAATTTGGGGTATGGGGTTGCTTAATATATTACACTGAGCTCTCCTAGCCTAGTTATGGTTTGAAATAGCAGTGTCACAACACAGCTGGGTAGATGAAGCTTTTCCTTTTTGTTTTGCCAAGATCTTTGGCTGTAGCATAGTGGCAGGGTGAGGATGTTCAGTGGGATACTCCTTAGACAAGATGCATAGGGGTTGAGTTTGTCCCTCCCAAACCCCTGGGCAATACAGAATAGTTTGGGTTGAAAGGGACCTTAAAGATCATCTTATCCCACCCCATGCCATGGACAGGGACACCTTGCACTAGACCAGGTTGCTCCAAGCCCTGGCCACTTCCAGGGATGAGGTTTTCCTGTCTCTCCTCCAGCACTGGGCTCAGGTGCAGGTGTGTTGCTGCACACGTAGGCCCTGCAGTCGTGCCTCCTGGCCCCGAGATGTTGTTTCTTTGGCGATTCTGTCGTAGCCTGGCAGGATGAAGTTGCTCAAACTCCCACGGAATGTGAATCATTGTGGTATGACACATTCAGCGGTTCTCACGCCGCTGCCTCCGAGAAGAGGCAATACGACTTGAGCTACACGAGCTCTAAATATAAAGCCTTAAGTAGGAATTATTCCCTCTGACCACCAACAAAAATACTGAGGACGAGCAACAAAAATACCCTTTTGCCATAAGGGTGTCGCAGAGCTGGGAAGGCACTTCTGGAATTGCTCATGTCAGCCCCTGCCAATGGAAACAGCCTCATCCTCAGTGACTGTGTTAGTCAGATTTCTCTAGCAGTGCTTGCTGATGCTGCTTAGACTTTTGTGTACACAGGACACTTCCTCCTGGAAGTGTCACACTACTATCAGAAGTGAGCTGGTTGAACCTGGCCTCTCTGTCTTGCACTCTCGGTTGGTTTTACTCAAATTTTGGCTTATTCCAGAGGCAGGGTGTTGTTCTTCAGCACTCTCTGGAAAAGAAAGTTCTGTGGAGATCAACAGGAGCTTGCTTCTTGGCATAGCTACACATGGAATCCCCTGTTATTGCAGTTTTTTAGAATCATTCAGTTAATAGAAGTGCCCAGGATAACCTCAGCTTTCCTAGACTCCTCCAGACCACAGAGCATCCACCCATATACCTGTCCTAAGGAACTGGGGGGGGGGGGGGGGTGTGCCTGGAAAGAGCAGCCTGAGCCTGTCCTAGGAGCCTGAGTTGGCAGAAGGAGCAAGGAGTTAGCTGGGCACACCGTGCACAGATCTTGTCTGTGTGAATTGCCCGTGGGAACTGCCAGCAGTTACTGAGGAGAGAACTCCGTGTCACAGGCTGGCTGTGTGAAAGGCCTCTGCCCCGAGTAACCCAATTAGCACTGCTTAATTTCAGGCCCTGCAGTGCAAGCCACAGGGCTGGAGAGAGCAGGAATGTGTCTGGCGTGGAGGCTGCTGTACCAGTGATCAGAAATGAGGTGGGAGAGGTGGGGTGGGCGGACTGGGGGCTCTGGGTGACCTGCCGCGGGCTCCGGGGGTACCAGGCACGCCTGTCTTGGCAGCAGCTCTTCAACCAGCTGCTCTGAGCAGAGCAGCTCAGGCAGCCACAGCCTGGGCACCCTGAATTAAAGGATCACTGGGCTCTGGCTTGATAACTTTGCCTTTCACTAATGCCCCCGGCGTGTTCCCCCTGCAGTTACGCGGTTATTGCCTACGGCTGTGCCAGCTGCCCCAAGCTGACCTGCGAGAGGGACGGCTGCCAGACAGAGTTCTGCTACCACTGCAAACAGATATGGCACCCCAACCAAACCTGCGACATGGCCCGCCAGCAGCGGGCACAGACCCTGCGGGTACGGACCAAGCACACGTCGGGCCTCAGCTACGGACAGGAATCCGGGCCGGGTATGGATTCACGTGTTTTCCGTAGAGTATCCTCAGCTGGGAGGGACCCACTAAGGTCATTGAATCCCAACTCCTTGCCCTGCACAGGACAGCCCCAAGAATCACACCACTGATTTTTTTGTTTTTTTTGGTTACTCAGTGCTGCAGCTGCGTGTGTGAAGCTGAGGAAGAGCCACCTCTGTGTAAACCCCCCTCCCCTCCAAGCAGTGGGGTGTTAGTGCCCTGCATGGCACAGCTGAGGGTCTACAGCTGCCACTGTGAGAGCAGCTGTGAAACTCAGACTCATTTCCCCTTCTCCTGTGTGTTAGGACATGTCTGGGCTCCTCCAAGAGCGCTGAACAGATCAGTAGGTGATGATGTGCTTTGGGTCCTTCTGTGTGACAGCAGCTCCCCTCATCCACCCCAGCTCTGCTTGTGGCTCTTTTGATCTTGGATGTTCTTGCTTTTTGCTGATCTAAACCCTGAACAAGTAGTCACTTTTTACCCTTGCAGCTTCAAATTTGCCTGCTGTGGTCATGAAGAGCAGCATTCAGGCCCAGCTGAGTGTGGGGAGCCTTGCTCTGTGCACTGTTAGGTGTTAGTAATGTCAGGTACCAAAAAAAATGCCAACCCACAGACTCCTACACTGCCTGGTAGGAGCTGCTGTGTCTGCTGAGTTTGTGTTCCTTAAAAATAACTGTATTGACTCTGGAAGGGGGCAGTGAGGCCATTTTGTAAAGCCCTGCCCTGCCCCCAAACAAAACACCCTGGTTTTCCTTCTATGTCAGGAGTTTAAATGTTAATTCACTTAGCATGGAGCTGTCGTGGGTGGTTCAGAGGTGGCTTAGTGGTATGTTGAGGTTCAACATGTCCCAGTTAGAGAGCCCTGATAATGGACAGTAGAGACTCCCACAGTCTCTGGTACAAACCAGCCAGTAAAAAAAAAACCAAAACCAAACCAGTTTCTGAGATTTTTCACCCTGTTAAAGAGATCCCTGCCAGGAAGGGCACTTAGCCACGGAAAGGGAGGTTTTTGAGACAGTGGTTTTTCCTCACCCTGTTCTGCTGGATCCAGTGTGGTGATTAATAAGGTGTGAGCTGGTTTCAGCAGCTGGATTTCATCTTGCTGAGCCTTGCAGGGGCCAACAAAGCCCTGAACCACAGCACAGCCATTGCATAACCACGATCAGATGACTCCTGAATTAAGGAAGAGATGAAAGACCCTTATCCCACTCTGCCAGCAGCAAGCTGGGGCCTGGGCAGCCTCTGCTGCAGACCCCAGTTCCCTTTTGGCTGCCCTAGAAGGCCGGGTTTGGTATTTTTCCAATGCCTGTTCTCCCAGTTGTTCTGTTGTTCTTGGCCCATGAATCACCTCAGTGGAGCAATTCAATCGTGGCTTGTTCTTATGCTGTTGCCCTGGCTAGCACAGGGCAGGTATGACTTGTTCCCAGCACTTAAGCATGTCCTGGAGTACATTCTGTTCAAGGTTAGAATAAGTTTTTAAAGTAGCTGTTGCTCTCAGTCCCGGCTGCCCGGGCTCTGGTGGGGTCTCTCATCAATGTTATCATCTCGCTCCGAAGATAAACTAAAGACACAGCACCCCTGTGGCCAGCAAAGGTGTTCTGCGCGCACAGGAAACAGGGGGTTCCATCCCGTGCCAAGATTCCCCTCGTGGATTCCCTCATGCTCACAGCAGAGGTTCCAACTCCATCCCGTGCTTCCTCCCCGCAGCCGACGACATCAAGCCGTGCCCGCGCTGCAGCGCCTACATCATCAAGATGAACGACGGGAGCTGCAACCACATGACGTGTGCCGTGTGTGGCTGCGAGTTCTGCTGGCTCTGCATGAAGGAGATCTCGGATCTGCATTACCTCAGGTGAGGAGGAGGGAGCAGCACACCGGGGTTCCCCAGCCTGTACCCCGTGCAGCGCTACAGGCTGGGACAGAGTGGCTGGAGAGCAGCCAGGGAGAGAGGGAGCTGGGAGTTTGGATTGACAGGAAGCTGAACATGAGCCAGCAGTGTGCCCAGGTGGCCAAGAAGGCCAATAGCATCCTGGCCTGTGTCAGGAACAGTGTGGCCAACAGGTCCAAGGAAGTGATTCTTCCCCTGGACTCAGCACTGGTGAGGCCACCCCTGGAGTGCTGTGTCCAGTTCTGGGCCCCTCAGTTCAGGAAGGACATTGAGGGGCTGGAGCAGGTCCAGAGAAGAGCAACAAGGCTGGGGAAGGGACTGGAGCACAAGTCCTATGAGGAGAGGCTGAGGGAGCTGGGGCTGTTCAGCCTGGAGAAGAGGAGGCTCAGGGGAGACCTCCTCACTCTCTGCAACTCCCTGAGAGGAGGGGGGAGCCAGGGGGGGGTTGGTCTCTTTTCCCAGGCAGTGATCAGCAAGACAAGAAGGCTCAGTCTTAAGCTGTGCCAGGGGAGGTTTAGGTTAGATATTAGGAGGAATTTCTTTCCAGAGAGGGTGCTCAGCCATTGGAATGGGCTGCCCAGGGAAGTGGTGGATTCTCCATCCCTGGAGGTTTTTAAGATAAGACTGGATGTGGCATCAGTGCCATGGGCTGGGAACCACAGCGGGGTTGGATCAAGGGTTGGACTTGATGATCTCAGAGGTTCCCACTTTACGGTGGCATGCTCTTCCACACCAAAACAAAAAAGCTCCTGATACTATTCTTTTGAGAGCTCTTGGTCTACTGGATGTTAAACACAGACCTGGTAATGTGATTGATCATCACCTTGATGAAAAATTAATCTTGATAGGGGGAAGAGAGAAACCTCTTTTGTGTTGTCTACCTACTTCCTAAATTTTGGGTTTTATTTATGTGGAAGTTGAACTTGGGGTTCTTGGGAACATTTAGGAATTGCTGTGGTGTTAATGTCATTTTTTCCCCCTCCCACGAAGCCCCTCTGGCTGTACATTCTGGGGCAAAAAGCCATGGAGTCGTAAAAAGAAGATTCTCTGGCAGCTGGGCACGTTGATCGGGGCTCCTGTGGGCATTTCCCTCATTGCTGGCATTGCCATTCCTGCCATGGTCATTGGCATCCCTGTGTACGTGGGGAGGAAGGTAAGTGTGGGGAGCAGAGGGGTTTGGGGGCGTTCCCTGTGCTCGAGGCATCCAACCAGAAATTTAGAGCTGATATGAAGGGTGGATCTTGCAACAGAAGCAAAATTCAGTTGTCTCTTCTAAAGCTTGTCTTATCTCCTGGGCTTTGTGTG